TAGCCATCACACAATCAACATAGTTGTTAAATTCTTCGACATACCTTATCCAGAATTCCAAAATCCCCCAAAACAGACCACCTAGGTAGCTAAATCGTGACAGTTTTGCTCTCTGATATTTCAACGTACACTAACTTTGTTTCCTGTGCAAAATTATTTTAATAATATTGTATAAAATTACCCCCAGGTTATCTGCATAATGAGGTGTAAACACATTTCTTATTTAGACTTGGATCCCATCTCCAAGATACCTCATTATGTGCAGATATGCAAATAGAGCTCACCTATTTTGAAATTTAAAATACATCTGTCTCCAAGCATTTCAGATAAGGGATACTCAACTTGAATAATAAATAGGAAGTCAGTTTTAAGGTGGTGTGTAGGTGTATAAATATTATTTAGCTATAGGTGCAAGGGTATTAAGGGTGATTATGAGTGGTAGTTTTTGTAACAGGTGGGTTTGTGTCACATAGCACTATTTTGCTCATTTCTGCTTACTTACATCTTGCTGTACTTTGTAATGTATATTGGGCTACAGTAGCATTGAGGGTTAAACCGCTAGCAGCAGAAAAATTGCTGGCCAGATGGTTAGCAGTTCAAAATTGTGGGTTGGGGTGAACTCTGGGCTGTCAGTCCTAGCTTGTGCCAACCTAGCAGTTCGAAAATATGTAATATCAGTAGATCCATAGGTACCATGTTGGCGGGAAGGCAAAAGGCACCCATACAACCATGCCAGCAAAATATGACCAGTAGAGTCCATGGACACCAGGCTCCTCAGTATGGAAAATGGAGCAAGAACACCTCTCCATGGCCAAGTTGAGCATCACCTCCAGATGCCGGGGATGGAAATGGAAACCTTTGCTTTCATTTGCATATTGTATGTCATTGTTCACTGTATAAAAGACTTGAATGTTTGCTTACATATGTGTATACTGTAATTCACTCCAAGTCCCCTTGGGAATATAGAGTCGAATATAAATGAAGTGTATTATTCTTATTAAAGTGTGTATTTGTTAGATGTATTCCACATTTTTAGTTATGTATATGTTTACATATTTCATAAAACATGCATTCAATATATTTCATAAAACATTTAATGGGAAGTCAACATTTTAAGATTGGAGATATATAGGTAGAAGAGGGGGTTTAAGGCTGATTGAGGGTGGTAGTTGTTGTAATGGGTGTGGTGGGGTTGGGGCACTGTTATATATACATATTCTACATTTTCAGTTATGTTTGTGCTTATATACTGATATTTTGTATAGTTGATATATTCAATTTTTATAAACATAAAATATAGTTAAGATTTAAACATGTACATAGATACATAATTTCTCTCTCTCTCTCTCTATATATATATTCCACCTAAAAGTGACTTCCCATTTAATTGAATTATTAAATATATTATATTTTATTAAATGGAAGTCAGTTTTTTAGGTGGGATACACACACATACACATACATATTCGATTATGTATGTGTTTAAATATTTATTTGATAAAAATCTAATATATTTATTATACTATAATCTTTATGTAATATATTTCATACAAATATTACGTGGGAAGTCAGTTTTCTAAGGTGGGAGAGATCTTATATTTTCAGTTATGTATATCTTTATGTATTTAATATAGTTTGGGCCTCTTCGAGGAGAAGATGGGGCAATGCTGACAGGGGATAGGGAAAAGGCAGAACTACTAAATACCTTCTTTGCCTCGGTCTTCTCACAAAAAGAAAGTCATCTTCAACCTCAGCAAGACGGAGTGGATGAGGGATTTGAGGACATCCAACTCCAAATTGGGAAACAAGTCGTACAGGAATACCTGGCCGCTCTAAATGAGTTCAAGTCCCCAGGGCCAGATCAACTACACCCAAGAGTATTGAAGGAACTAGCGGAAGTCATTTCGGAACCATTGGCAATCATCTTTGAGAGTTCTTGGAGAACGGGAGAAGTTCCAGCAGATTGGAGGAGGGCCAATGTGGTCCCAATCTTCAAGAAGGGAAAAAAGGATGACCTAAACAACTACCGTCCGGTCAGCCTCACGTCGATACCAGGCAAGATTCTGGAAAAGATTGTTAAGGAAGTGGTCTGCAAACACTTAGAAACAAATGCGGTCATTGCTAATAGTCAACATGGATTTATCAAAAACAAGTCATGCCAGACTAATCTGATCTCTTTTTTTGATAGAGTTACAAGCTGGGTAGATGCGGGGAATGCCGTGGATGTAGCGTACCTGGATTTCAGTAAGGCCTTCGACAAGGTCCCCCATGACCTTCTGGCAAGGAAACTGGTCCAATGTGGGCTAGGCAAAACTACGGTGAGGTGGATCTGTAATTGGTTAAATGGACGAACCCAGAGGGTGCTCACCAATGCTTCCTCTTCATCCTGGAAAGAAGTGACGAGCGGGGTGCCGCAGGGTTCCGTCCTGGGCCCGGTTCTGTTCAACATCTTTATTAATGACTTAGATGAAGGGCTAGAAGGCAGGATCATCAAGTTTGCAGACGACACCAAATTGGGAGGGATAGCCAATACTCCAGAGGACAGGAGCAGGATTCAAAACGATCTTGATAGATTAGAGAGATGGGCCAAAAATTAACAAAATGAAGTTCAACAGTGACAAATGCAAGATACTCCACTTAGGCAGGAAAAACGAAATGCAAAGATACAGAATGGGGGACAATGCCTGGCTCGAGAGCAGTACGTGTGAAAAAGATCTTGGAGTCCTCGTGGACAACAAGTTAAACATGAGCCAACAATGTGATGTGGCGGCAAAAAAGCAAATGGGATTTTGGCCTGCATCAATAGGAGCATAGTGTCTAGATCTAGGGAAGTAATGCTACCCCTCTATTCTGCTTTGGTTAGACCACACCTGGAATATTGTGTCCAATTCTGGGCACCACAATTCAAGAGAGATATTGACAAGCTGGAATGTGTCCAGAGGAGGGCGACTAAAATGATAAAAGGTCTGGAGAACAAGCCCTATGAGGAGCAGCTAAAGGAGCTGGGCATGTTTAGCCTGAAGAAGAGAAGGCTGAGAGGAGATATGATAGCCATGTATAAATATGTGAGAGGAAGCCACAGGGAGGAGGGAGCAAGCTTGTTTCTGCTTCCCTGGAGACTAGGACGCGGAACAATGGCTTCAAACTACAAGAGAGGAGATTCCACCTGAACATGAGGAAGAACTCCTGACTGTGAGAGCCGTTCAGCAGTGGAACTCTCTGCCCCGGAGTGTGGTGGAGGCTCCTTCTTTGGAAGCTTTTAAACAGAGGCTGGATGGCCATCTGTCAGGGGTGATTTGAATGCAATATTCCTGGTTCTTGGCAGGGGGTTGGACTGGATGGCCCATGAGGTCTCTTCCAACTCTTTGATTCTATGATTCTATGATTTGTACAAATCTAATATCTTTATGAAACTGTATAATCAATAGGTAATATATTATAACCTAGATACAATATATTTAGTAAAATATAACATATATGCAATGCATTTAAATCCAGATAGCCAATATTTTCAGTTACCAACACATTTATTTAATATAGTTTATAAAAATCTAGTATATTTATGTATAATCAATATGCGGTATATTTAATAAAATACAACCAATATGCAATATATTTTAAATGTACCATGTATGCAATGTATTTAAATATAATGTAGAGGATATATATTATAGATCTCTCTTTTCTCTTAGGCGATCCCTCATTGTCTGAGTAGGATAGTTTCCCAAGATCAGTGTACTGGTGGGTCTGTAGGTGATTGTGGAGCCCTATTCTTGATCTGCATCTTCTCCTGCAGTGAGGGCATTGGTTTCCAGGTGGAAGGCGGTCTCGGTCGGGGTTGGCTTGACGTGCCTTCCTCTTGGCACGTTTCTCTCTCACCCTCCATTTGTGCCTCTTCAAATTCTACAGTACTGCTGGTCACAGCTGACTTCCAGCTGGAGCACTCAAGGGCCAGGGCTTCCCAGTTCTCAGTGTCTATGCCAGAGTTTTTAAGGTTGGCTTTGAGCCCATCTTTAAATCGCTTTTCCTGTCCACCAACATTCCGTTTTCCGTTCTTGAGTTCGGAGTAGAGCAACTGCTTTGGGACACAGTGGTTGGGCATCTGGACAACGTGGCCGGTCCAGCGGAGTTGATGGTGGAGGACCATTGCTTCAATGCTGGTGGTCTTTGCTTCTTCCAGCATGCTGACCTTTGTCCGCTTAATAATTAATAATATATATAATAGATTATATATATGAATATAATAGATGTAATATATTGAAATGTAACAGTTTTAATATATAAATAAATATAATAGATGTAATATATTGAACTATAACAGATTGAATATATTTAAAAATAATAGAAGCAATATATTTTAAAATAATAGATTTATATATACATATACATTATTTTTAAAATATATTACATATTTTACTATATTAAATAATAATAATACAATAATAGATGTAATATATTTAAATATAACAGATTTAATATATTTGAATATAATAGATGCAACATATTTTAAAATATATATATATATATATATATATTACATCTATAATATAATAATAATAATACAATAATAGATGTAATATATTTAAATATAACAGATTTAATATATTTGAATATGATAGATGTAATATATTGAAATAATAACAGATTGGAGATATATATATATATATATATATATATATATGATGTAATATATTGAAATCTAATATTCAATTCAATATATTTCATAAAATATTTTTCAACGTTACTTTTCAATGTAAATGTGTTTTCTGAGCCTTCAAACCACAGCGACTACCAGCTGTTAAAGCGTGTATATATACCTTTTTGGGGCGGGGGGGGGGCTCCATCCAGGGAGGGGGCTGGCGCGCCAAGGATCGCTTTGCTCTCTCCCTTCTCTCTCTCTCTCTCTCTCTCTCTCTCTCTCTCTCTCTCTCTCTCTCTCTCTCTCTCAGAAGCCTCTTTTCGGGAGGCAGCTCTCTACCGCCCCTAGCGGCGACTGCTGCTCATTGCCGCGCTCTCTCCTCGGGAATGCTGGGAATGTTGAGTCAGGCGCTGGCCGGGCTGCGAGCTGGCCGAGGCTGAGAGCGGGCAAGGCAGGCAAGCAAGGCAGGCAGCCCGGGAGAGGAGCCTTCCCGCTGGGGACGGACTGCGGCGCCGTGGGTCGGTCTCCTCGGGCGCTGGCCTCCTCCCTCTCTCCCTCCCTCCCTGCGACGCCGCAAGCCGTGATGGTGTAGGGCTCCATGCGAGGAGGAAGAGGAAGAGGAGGAGGAGGAGGAAGAAGAAGAGGAAGGTGCAAGACGGTGGTGGGGAAGGTAAGCAAAGGGCACCGCTTGGGAGGCACACCTTCGCCGAGGGGCCTGAGGATGGAGAGGGAGAGAGAGAGAGAGGAACAGGCATGGATGTCATCCAACCCTCCGTGTGCCCAAAGGGGAGCTTGCATCCCTCTGGATCATAGTAAGGAGTCCATCCAGTGCCTCTCCCTTTCCAGGGAAGCAGATGCCTTCGTGCAATCCCTCCTCGAAAACAGCAGCCTGGTTGCCTTGCTGGCTGGGCTGTGCCTGGCATGGGGTGTTGTAGCCATCTCTCCAGATACACTATCTCTCTCTCCATTTCTCTACACAATATATCTAGATAGATGCCTGTGAGCCATCCCTACAGCGTTCTTGTCTACTAGGAAACGATGCCTGGGTTTGTAAATAGTAGATATTTGCAGGGGGGAAATGAATCAGTGCTGCTCCCTCCCTTCCTTCCTTCTTTCCTTCCCCTTCAGCATCTTAGGGGTTTCCCAGGAAGGAGAAGAAATGGTATTTTATTATAGATGCAGTATATATTCCCATATATTCAATCTATATATATATATACTCCCATATATTCAATTATTCAATCTATATATATATAACTTTGGATAAATTTAAATATATTGCATATATATATATATATATATATATATATTCAATCTGATAAATATATAATATTTATATATTTATATATATATTCAATCGACTATTTTAAAATATATTGCACCTATTATATTTATGCATATTCAGTCTGTTATTTTTGAATATATTGCATCTATTTTTATATTATAGAAGCAGTATAATATAATGTATTCCATCTGTTATCTATCTATCTATCTATCTATCTATTACTTCTATTATATTTATTATATTTAAACTATTTTATTGATCTATCTTAAATCTGTTGAATTTACATATATCACATCTATTATATTTAAATATATTGGATCTGTTCTATTTATATAATAATAATAATAATAATAATAATAATAATAATAGCAACTTTATTTTAACCCGTCCTCTCTCCCCGAAGGAACTCAGGGTGGCTTCCACAGGCAAAAAAATGGCAAACATTCAATGCCATGTCCTATGACAAAAAATTAAAATTAAAACAAGTACCAACAAACAGTTAAAAATGAGCAGTTAAAATAAACCAGTTATATAATAAACAAATGGATCCATGGCTTGTTAGGAGTGAGGGAGGGGTTACATTGTGGTCCCATCTGGGATGATTGGAAGAAGGGATGGTGACCTGTGCCCCCCCCCCCCAGCTCTCTGTGTCTGTGATGATAGATGCTGTCTGGGTTTTGCACAAGGATGTGCAGCCATCAGGCGTGGGATGGAGAGACCCCTCCCTCCATTTGGTCCCTTTTAAAGCGGCTACCTGCTCAACCTGGGAGGAAAGGATGGAGGGCCAGGGCTCCCTGTGAATTGACATGTCCCTTTTGATGGACAAGCCCACAGGCCACTGGCGTTGGCAGGGATGGGCTCCTGGCCCTGGGCTCAGCCAATTGGTGTGGCCAGGAGGAGGGCAGAGCTGCTGGTCAGAGCGAGTTTCCTGGTTGGCTTTAGGGACAGAAAGAGAAGAAATCACAGCTTTCTCTAAACCCTTTGCCTGCTACTCTCCCCAGCCTCTCCCCCTTTTCTCCACTGCAGTGAAAACCAACCAGAGGGGGGTCCCCACTATAAGTGTTGCCAGGGAGTCACATGGTGCATCTACACTGAAGAATGGATGCTTATGGAAGCATGGGATGTGTAGTTTGGTGAGGCACCAGCACTATAGGATCGAGAAGGCTAAAGACCTTGCAAAACTATAATTCTCAGGTTTGCGTAGCACTGAGCCATGGCAGTTGAAGCAGGGTCAAACTGCATTAATTCAACAGTGTAGACCAGGCATGGGCTAACTTCAGCCCTCCAGGTGTTTTGGACTTCAACTCCCACCATTCCTATCAGCCTCAGGCCCTTTCCTTTTCCCCCTCAGCTGCTTAAGCGGCTGAGGGGGAAAAGGAAGGGGCCTGAGGCTGTTAGGACACTTGGAGGGCCAAAAGTTGGAGGGCCAAAGTTGGCCCATGCTTGGTGTAGATGCACCCCTAGAGAGTCACACACACAATCTCCATTGAACACTTCCAAACCTCTCTGTGATGTATAGAGGGATCGTAGGCAATTTCAGCCTTATTATTTGGGTGGCTTCTGTCTCTATTTCTCTCACATATGTTTCCTCAAAGAGACAGTCTGCAAGTCAGACCATGGGCAGCTTGTGGTCTGACCTCCCTCTTAAGACTCAAGCTGATCCCCACTATACAGAAGGATTTGTCATGACTGTGAGAGAAATGCACCCTTTCTCTCTTTAAGGATCTCATCATACTAGAGAATGAATCCACTTTAAATCCGGTTGCTGCCTCCTACAGAATTCTGGGGGTTTGTAGTTTAGGGAGGAGCATTTAACAGCCTCACTAAACTACAAACCCCAGAATTCTGCAGGAGGCAGAAACCAGATTTAGTGGTTCCTCCTCTTACCAGATGTTACTTTGGCTTTCCCTTTGTTTGGGAAGGTGCTCCGTGGCTGTCTGTCAAGAGGGCTTTGATTTCTCCATGACAGAATGGGCGGACCTGGTGGTCTCTTCCAACTCTAGGATTCTATGACTCTAACATTTTTCCTCTCCTTAGGATTCCTTCATCTATGGATGGAGATAGCATAAATAATTGATCTAACCATATTCTTCATGGTATTTTTTTTTAATATACAGTGCTTTAGAGATACTGGTTGCATCTGCCAAAACATGGAAAAAAGATTCTCCTTTGGCATATCAGGAACAGGTTGTCAGGACCTAAGTAGGTCATTTTTCTAAAGCTGGAAATGTGTGTGACAAGAGTTCAACTGCATTTTAAGGAGAGGATGGAGGAACTTGGTTGCTGTGAGTTTTCTGGGCCAAACTCTTTTCTTTCATGTATTCCCACATCTCTCCTTCTGGTGCCAAACATCACGTTTACTGTGGACTTTTAAAACCCATTGGGCCCATAGTTATTGCTGCTTGTTATTGCTGTTGTGCCATTGTTTATGCGTTTGTTGTATTATGTATGTTTGCACTATTGAGTGCTTTTGTGAGCTGCCCCAAATCCCTTTGAGGAGATGGTGGTGGGATGAAAATAAAGCATTATTATTGTGTTCTCGAAGGCTTTCATGGCCAGAATCACTGGGTTGCTATGAGTTTTCTGTGCTAAATGACCATGTTCCAGAAGCATTCTCTCCTGACGTTTCACCTACAGCTACGGCAGGTATCCTCAGAGGTTGTGAAGTCTGATAGAAACTGGGCAAGTGAGGTTTATATATCTGTGGAAGGTCCGGTGTGGGAGAAAGAACGCTTATCTGCTTGATGCATGTGTGAACATTGCAATTCGCGACCTTGGTTAGCATTTAATGGACTTGCAGCTTCAAAGACTGGCTGATTGCTGCCTGGGGATCCTTTGCTGTGAGGTGTTAGCTGGCCCTGATTGTTAGCTGGCCCTGATTGTTTCTTGTCTGGAATTCCCCTGCTTTTTGAGTGTTGTTCTTTATTTAATATCCTGATTTTAGAGTTTTTTAAACTGGTAGCCAGATTTGGTTCATTTTCATGGTTTTTTCCTTTCTCTTGAAATTGTCCACATGCTTGTTGATTTCAATGGCTTCTCTTTGTAGTCTGACATGGTAACAACAACAACAATAATTGTAAACCTGGTAAACCTTCAGGCCCCTGTTTTAGTTTAGACCACTACTGAAAATGTTTGTGCACAATCACAAAATAGAACAGATGGTTTCTAAACCAAGTGTGATTGTCATAGAGCTTTGGAGATGCCAGAACTTGATAAGAGACATATATCCTGAATGGCAACCACTTCCAAATTTCACTCGCAAAGGGTTTTTGCACCCTTTGTTCCTGAGGCTGAGTTCTTCTTCTCTCTTCTTGTTACATGCATTCTGTGGGTTGTTGCATCCTACAGCTTCTTGTGTGTATAAACCCATCTCAAATTTGACATGACTAATCCAGTTCTGTTTGCCCAGTGCCCCTTTCCTTGTTTCTTTGTCAGAATTACAATCATCTCCCTTAGCTGAAGGCACATGGGAATCATGTTTGATTAATTTCTGTGTTTCCTTTTGAAAGAATCAGTGGTAGCCAAATGCTTTTGGATCTTTTCAGCATTTGGAAACAACGTCCTCTCTTCTTTACTGCACCCTAAAATGTGGTCTGTTCTCTGGTGGCTCACATTTCTTCCTCTGCAGCTTCTTTATGGCTCTTGCTGTTTCTTCCTTCTCCACTTCACAGCACCTCTCTGAACAAATCTTTCTCTTGTTTCACTAGGATCATATTACTGCTCTCTTTAAATCTCTGCACTTGCTTCCTGTCACATACTATGTATGAAATTCAAGGTTCTTTTAGTGCTTACTTTTTACAATTTTTGTCTCTTTAAAATCATTGAAATCTCTTCCACCCTTTTTGCTTTCAGTCCAGTTTGCATTTACTGCTATATTTTTCACTTTCTCCTTCGCTTCATCCTGATTCTGTCTCATGATGTGCTTGGAGCTGAGGTCTCTTCTGCTTAAAACCTCTTCTTAAATTCCACACTGACTTGGTTTACCTGTTGTTGGATGTTTCCGACACCTTCCTGATTTTACCCCTCCCTCTCATTTCTTTTTCAACAATTACTTTCTAATAATGAGTGCAGAGAATACCTGCCTTTGGGTGAAATTAATTACCTATCCTGGTTTATGTATAGTGGGGAGAATGGGATTGTAAATATTCAGCTCTAAGTCTCATCAAATTAAAGATCAAATTGTGGAAGTGAGGCAAGTGTGTGTCTCAGAGAGAAAGGGAAGGATGGAGGAGAATGCTTTTGGTAGTAGTATATTTATTATTTATGTATTTATTTACCGTATTTCCCACCCTATCTCACCCCAAGGGGGGACTCAGAGTGGCTTACAGCTTGGTACAATTTGATGCCACATCAAAACATAAACATAACAGATTATAAATACATTA